TTTGTAATAGTTTTTGTACACATGACTTATTAGTAGTCATATGAGTTTATGTATGACTCATACTTGTGAGTCATAGCTATTATGTTGGTTGATTGTGCAATAACTCATATGAGTCATATGATGTTTAGGATGTTTTATATATATGACTTGTGCAGAAGTCATGTGAGTTTCACACATGACTAGGTTTAAGGTTATATAGTTATATGTTATGCAAGAGTATGAGTCACAGTTATGACTCATGATAGATAGTGATTTGTAAATGAGTTGTGGGAAGAACTATATAAGGAGAAGGATATGATGATGTAGTTAGTTCTTCACACAACTACCTAAGTAATCAAGCTACTTATACTATTACCTTTTTACCTCTCTATTATAAATACCTTTATACTTATGTGCAAATGATTATCAAAGATAAGGAAGTTCCATCAAGTATTGCAATACTAGGAACATGATGATGTTCAAACCAGATAGTAATATATACTCAAGGGAGTATTAGAATTAATGAGAACCGAATTGATTTCAGTGACTGTTGTGATGTATGAGATTCAATAAACCTATCAAATTGGCTCTGGATAGGTTCAGAACATTACATGGAGTCTCATTTGATGGCATCATGATATAGTCTTTGTATAATTGTAATAAAGTATGTAAGATCTGTTGGAAGTATCTATACAATATATTATCAATACTAGGATCTTAGATCACAATATGAAGATTATGTTGACTACTCCCTGCTTACAGTCTCTAGACTATGTTGAAACCTATCCTGTCTATTGTGTATCCTTATTGGATGACCTCTTTCCTACTATTTATATAAAAATTGCTAATTATTCTTCAACTGACACTCTAGATATGCTTTTCAGGTACCCTTTAGTGGCTAAGTTGTCACAATTGCTGAAAGGCTGATAAAGGCATCTGCAATACCTCTTGTATATGGTATAAATTGTTACTTTGAATGACTTCTTCAAGATATTTTGCTCCAGCTAAAATTGATGAGTGAATTGGTGTTTTTTCTAGCCTTGCCACCTCTCTTTGTCCCATCAATAGAGTTATCTTTCCCAGATTCTGAGAGCTAAGAACCTGGTTGCCCTTGCTTTCCTTGTCCTTTTTCTATGATATGGTTGGAGTATGTCTTGATGGCTGAATATCATCAAGGTCTAGATTCATCATTTTGTTTGCTGATATCACGCTCATCAGTGTAGTCTCCAGATCAATCTTGGATTTTATCTAGATTATTTTCACCATGACTGCTTCTTAGTGTCTATTTATGTAATTATTCATGACATTCCTGTGCTATTTGATTGGCTATTATTCTGGTCACTATATATCTTGGTTCTTCAGAACACTCTATAGGTATGTTTTTCTTTTTGCCACATTTCTAAGTAACCAATCATATTATCACATTATTCTTTTCCTCCATCTCTCGATCTCGATCCCACAATCCATGGATTTCAATTTCCAGACATCCAAACAGGCCCTTACTTTTATGGAGTTCCATGCGTTGCAACGCTGACCCTTGTACCTCTGGGCTACGTTATTTTGAGCCCTGTGGGTAAGCACAGAATCTTTCCGTGCAGTGCTTAAGTTGTGTTGGGGCCATTTTTAATTTCCAGAACAAGGTGCGTTTTTGTCATTTCGGGCCTAAGTTGCTTGAACCAAGGAACTTATGACCAATGGTAATTTTTCTTAACCACCTAAGAACTCACGCTGGTGCTTAACCTCGATAGTAAGCCACCGTAATTCGTTGGGAAGCGAGGTTGCACCCTCTTTGTCCTGTACCAGTATGATACCACGGTGAATATCCAGAGTCTTGGCTGACGCAACATGACGAACATCTAAACAACCACATCCCACCCTCTAAACCCTGGCCATCCCCGCAATTATCTGTCCCACTTCCTGTCAACCACCCGTACCTTACCTTGACACCACAGACCATGGAAAATCTTGGACTTCTTAGTGACGGGCCAAGGACCGTATCATGCCGTATCACACATTGTATGCGGTAAATCTTGGCTTTCGTAGGTGAGGTTGTGTCTTGGTATAAATAGAGTTCATGTATTTTTCTATGGAAGGGAGGTTGTTAGCCACAGTTATAGACTATTTGGCACTCAGTAGACCATTATTGCTCTCTCCATCAGCTATCGAATAGTCTAAACAACTGCGATGTCTGGCTTCCTGAGTCGTTTCCGACGCGGTGCTTCGCCGGCTACTGAGAAACATGTGCATTCATCTACTCCTCGAGCGAGTACTACAGATCCTAATGGCTTGAGACAGGCTCATACCGGGACGATGAGAGATGCAGAAGCTGGAGAGGAACACGAAGGCTGGATTGATCCGTATGGAGGTCCGCCCACGGTTAAGCAGTGGTTTAGGTGGTATTGGCATGATGTTGTTGCGTGAGTACTTATCCCTCCGAACTAACTTAACATTCCGATGAATGGAAAGTTAATGGCTATATAGATTTATCTTTTTGGGCGCGATTTCGTTATGGCTGCTTATTTGGAGTCCAATTCCCTACCGGAAGTTATTTGCGGTGACAGTCAATCCGGGGAATGGAGTAGATGGGTGAGTGCTCTATTTAGATCTAACATTCAATCAAATATAATTCTAGTGAACCGCGCAGTTCCTCCGAAATCGTTAATCCCTCCTTCGCCTACCCCAAGCGCAAACAAGTCATTCCCATAATAGCAGACGCCATGATAGCGGTCTTCGTGCCCATAATCTCTATAGTCCTGACCAACATCATTGGGATTGCAACCCACGGCCCAGACGGCAAGCGTCTCCGCATGGCCGGTAAGCGTGGCGGCGCGCTCCTAGGTCGTGGTTCCTTCTGGAACGTCAACAACGGCTGCATCGGGTTATCTACTCCGTCATGACTGGAGCAACTCTACAAATCATCATAAAGCTAGTGATAGGAGGGCTAAGGCCACATTTCCTCACGGTCTGCGATCCCCAAATCGACGGCGTCAAAGGAATGGGATATGGCGGATTATATTTCGACACAAGTGTCTGCAGAGACCACTCAGACCCCAAACGACGAGACGAGATCGCAAACGCGATGCAAAGTTCCCCATCCGGTCACTCCATGGCTGCCTGGGCTGGCCTCTTTTACCTAAGCCTTTACTTCAACGCACATCTGAAGATATTCTCAAACTACCATCCCTCATACTGGAAACTCCTCCTCTTCGTCACCCCCATGCTCGCCGCGACGCTAATCGTCGGCTCGCTGACGCTGGACATGAGCCACAACCGGTACGACATCGTCGTAGGCTCAGTAATGGGAGTTGCCATGGCCATTCTCTCGTACAGGATGTGCTTCGCTTCAGTCTGGGATTTCCGCTTCAACCATATCCCGCTTGCTCGGGATCCGCGCATCCCCGGGTTTAATTACAACATTGAGGAGTTGGAGGATTGGGGCGGAGGGTGTGCTACCAGAAGGGGAGGCTGGGGCGTTGCAAGACGCTACGCAAGGTTCAATCGTGGGTGGGGCGCCCCTGGGGATTGCGCATTTTAGGGTGCTGGAGTGAGTACTGGATTGGGGAGTATTGGTTCTGTGGGCGGGCAGAGGCATCATCACCATCACCATGAATATCCGAATGGAACTTACAGTGAAGGAAGCGCGGTGAGGGAGCCGACGGTTCTGAATGGAGCGACGGGACCTACTGTTTGATTCCCAAAACTTGAAACTTAATATATATTTCCTTTGACCTCATGTTTCTTTTTCTTTCCTTCTAGCTTCATCATTTCATTTCGTTCCACAGGGCCGCAACAGATACCCACCCATTCTCACCTTATTTCTATTTCTACAACTTATACCTCTTACATCATATATAGCTACCCAACCTGTATGTACCATACATGCTTAATAAAATACCACAAACGAACGACTACCGTACTGCTACTACCATGACTCCCACACTTCATCCCCCCCTCTCATCCTCCTCCTTAACAAAAAGTGAACAAACCCCCCTCCTACATTTAAAAAATAAAAAAATGAAACCCAACCCACCACACCGGACACCCATCCGAGCACCCCCCAACCCTACCGCACCGGGAAACCCCCACCCTCCCACGTTTACTACCGTATGCGAACCTCATTCCATCCAGACACTCAACCAAAGTACCGCATTAACTCGAGTACAAGAGAATCGCACTAGAACGTAGAAATTCCGCTTCTCGGCTAGGCTATATCAAAACACTCCAAACACAACGTTCAAAACCAACGGAATATATGCTGCACTTTACTCCGAGAGGGAAAACTACAAAGTCCTTGCGCAGTTCCCTTGTATTCGAGTAAATACGGTACCGTAAATACTTCACCCCCTCTCACTCGATATTTGTAATCATGCAAACAAGGCAGGGCCACCCGCCAAATACCGTACCGTCAGTACCGATATCGATAACGGTAGATGTGCAACGTGCTCTCCCATCCCTTCACTTTTACCAGTGCCTGCCAGTAACTTATGATAGATTGATTGATCGACGAAGGGATAGCCTAGAAAGATCTAACATAACTTACCGGCCGTAAGGACCGGACCGGATTTCTCTGCGATGTAGGGATGACGGATGCTTGTGGAAGTTGGTGCATTTCGGGATATTTTTGTTTTGTTTTGGATGTTGGTAAATTAGAGTTTGGGATTTGGGAGATGTGCTGTTCCCGGAGGGGAAGGTATGAATGAATGAATTCCAAAGGGGTGTGTTGAAGCTGTATTGTGTTTTTTTTTTTCTTTTCCGGAAGGGCTTCCGGGAGGTTTCTCCTGTGAGGGGGGGATTTCGGATGTTGAGGGCGTACCGGTACTTGATATCTGAGGAGATAACCAAGGCTGCCTCTTCCTACTACTGCTCTTATCTGTGCAAAGTGCCTTTCGTGAAGTGGTGCCGTAGTACTGATTCATGATTCAACCACAATGCAGTGAGTCTCAAACCAACAGCGCCAGGGTAACTAGGCGAAGGTGAAGAACAGGTCGGAACGAAGAAAATCGTGGGGGGGCAAAAATATCCGACAACGACAGGATTTGAACCTGTGCTCGCGAACGAAACAGATAACTGGAATTTCGGAATATTCGAGTCTGTCGCCTTAACCACTCGGCCACGTTGTCCTGATTAATTCTAGTAAAGTCTATACATTCATATACAAAAATTTAGCTCATGTTGAATTCACGCTGTTTATTCGCAGTTGTTTACTCAAAATTGTACATGGGGCTGCACTGTCACAATTCTCCAATGGTTGTTCTAAACTTAGATTTAACTCCCCCGCAACCCCACCATCTCACCTTTTACTCACTTATCATACCCCTCCAGTTTCTTTCATTCCAAGAACTCCAGCTTTGAATTCAAAAAAGGGTTACCCTGCCATCCATGACGTCGACTAGATACTCCGTTTCAACAACGTTTCTCCCAAACCTAACAACCATGGGATCCAAAGCTTCAAGACTAATAGGCGCCTCAAGCACTCGAAAATACCCCACTCGAACACCGCAAGTTTTGGAATCGCCTTCATACCAACCACAGGACCTAGCGCAGGCTAGCTACAATAAAACTCAGGGTACGTACGAAGCGCAGTAATAGTTCAAAAGCAATGTCCGATAATTTTTCGGAACTTCTACTCTTCCGGACTGTGTCTGAGATACGAAGAAGAAAGCACGACTAATTTGTGGTCTCCAGATATTCTACGGGATGCTCAGGATCCGGATTACCAGAGCATGTTGAAAAGGGTGGGAGTTGCCGAGATTTTGGACCCTGCGAGAAACGTAGCTGTGAACGAGAAGGTGAGCGAGCGCGTTGGATTGAATGAGTTGCTAATGGTGGTGATGGGGGCGCAATTTTTTTTTCCGTTGGGATTGTTGGTGGAAAGTTGGAGTAATGCTTTGTTGTTGAGTTGTTGGAAGGAATAACTGACAGAGTGATGGACGGGGAGAGTTGCAGAGCTCGAATTCCCTTCATACAATCTCCCGTCGTCAGGTGCTCTACGACCTGCAGCAGATGGAATCTTCGAGTAAGCAGGGCCGAGACAGGCGTACGTGGGTCGACACGTCGACTATATTTGAGATCCTGAAGCTTAGGGATGAGAAGAAGTGGGAGGCCGGGCGCATCGAGAAAGAATTGGGGTTAGCGCCTGGCCTGGTGGATAGGTTGGGGGGTAAGGTTGGAAAACCGTGAATACAGATGGGAAGCAGAGTAGTGCAAAAATGGTCAGTCAGGGCTGTGGGTTCAGCAGGAAGGGGAAAAAGAAAAAAGGATCTGCGTGTGCAAATTCTCAATGTATGCTGGTCCAGTCAACGGCTAACTAATACTCTTGGTGTGTAGTGCAATTTTACACTCTTTTCTCTTAATTGCCGCGCAAAAGAAAAGTTATTATGTACCTTTGTTAATTCCGGAACCTGTCCTTTCTTTTCTATAACCCCCAAAGCAGGGAGTATCCAATTGAAGCACGTTTCGCGTGCGTACATTTCGATAGGACCAAAAAAAGCAGAAGAGGATGTAATATTATATTTTGGGGTACTGTACGAGTACAAGTATGGTGCCGGCACCTTTGAACCTATGATACCCTCATGACAACCAAAGATTGACGGATATTTCAACTTATTATAACAACACCGATAAGTGAGATTTTTAAAATCCCTTCTGTAAAGTTTTTCTAATTGGTTATTAGAACATATCTACAGAGCGATTTTCTTTTAACTCTTCTGGTTGGGATTTATAGGGCACCAAAGTTTGTATGGGACAGAGGACAGTGAGACTTGTACAAGTATGGGGAAAAGGTCGCCGCTGAATAATTAGCCAAGATACTTCCTGATCCGGTGTAGTCTATTGCCAAATTAGGACTAGTGATCATGGGTCGCCGTGAGACTCAGGGCAGGTTCTAAGGTGCCAGCACCATACAAGTTAGTAGTGGGTGGAGAGCGAGGCGTGGGGTGATTTCCTCTGGTGAATCGCCGAGCCCAGACAGGGGATCTAATAGGCCGATTGAGAAAAACATTTTCTTCTGGTTCGGTTGATAAGTTAAGACGCTTAACATCTGCATTCAAAGTCACGGGATTTTGGGCATATGCCGCTGATCTATGCACGTAAAGGCGGTTAGTACCAGTATTTCAACTCAAGCTCACATTCAAGAGCTTAAGCTGACCCCACGGCGAGCGAGAACAAGATGGGTGCTCATTCGGGTCTTACATGCAGTTAGTGGTACTGTACCCGACATCCATTGTATTGGTTCGGCCTTTTCTAATTTTTTTTTCTTCTGAAATGTGGGAGTTCCATCTGATGAGGACATGGGTTAACTTCGGGCATTAGCTCGAGTGACATTCCGAGTTTTGAAACTTGAACTGTCGGGGTACTGGGCTTGCGTTGTCTCCGAGCCGCCCTTTTATTTTCGTATATTTTGCACTCTACTGTATATGCAAGTTAACACGCACGCACATCTCTGTTGGCAAGAACGGATTGAAAATTCGAGCCCCTCAATCTGAAGCAGACGACGAAATTCGGGAATCCAACGATTAAAACTGAGGTTCTCTTACTTGGGTATGGATGTGGGTGATCAAACAGTGAGGGATTCTGGTGGCCTGACTTACACTATCGGTACTCTCATGGGAAAATAAAAGAATGAACTTACTAGTACCGGTATAGAAATTTCTCAAACAAGGAAGAAGTTTTGATACCTCATAATACTTGAGTGTCTGATACCATATGCATGCACTCTGGTACTGTACATCCTTCCTTTCTCTTCTCTATTTGACACTACGCCTTTAATGTCGGGGTATACGGCAATCCGTTGTCAACACCTGATAATGGACAGCTGAATCTGGGAAAGAGGAAAAATCAAAAAAAAATCTTTACCCCACTTCGCACCCCTTAAATTGTTGACTAATGGATTGGTTTTATCTAATCTTTTAAACCACTTTTCGACGATAGTATAACAATTGGGAATTGGGGGCCGCGTAGGGACCTTCGCTGTCTCATGGGCATAGCCGATAACCGAATACGGCGCACTTTGAACGTCCAAAGATTTCCGGTAGAGTAACTTAAGCTTGTCGCTGACAGGGCCTTCTTCTGGGAAGAGATAGATGTGGTTGATGTCTTGGTGGGCACGGCATGTCAAATGCACATCATGACTCATGCAGAATTGGCATATCGTAAGATATCTCTCTCTACCAGCCCCCACAAAGATGATCACACCGCGATAACCTTTGCACGGTATTTTAACCACCCCACGAACATATTACCGTCTTACTCTTCCTTTCAAGACCAACCAGCGTATTCGCCAATAAAGGGAGTCGGAGAGGGAAGAGGAGGAATATGAAGCGGCAGGAGGAGGGGAGGAGGAAGAGAAAAGTAAGAGTACTTGGGCAAGGTATGTTATGATACGATACTCCTAGGACAAGTCAGCCCTGCATGCAGGTCGGAGAGGACTTGTCTCTACCAGCATCTCGCTCAATCCTGCCAGTATTTACTACCTTACAATACTTAAGTACCGGAAAAAGGTCAGGCCCAAAAGGAAAGGAAAAAGTTATATCAAAGATAGAAAGTGGGAACGAGATCTTGCCAAGCTAAATCTCTACCAGATGTCACTTCCGCGCACAGATTGCGCTGCTGGCTTCTTGGGATTTGGGATGGATAATCAATTACCGTACCGTGTCGCGCCCCAACTCTACTTATCGTTGGAGGGGTAAATTACAACAATAATAATTATGGCTCCAATCTATATAGTACTGTACAGTCCTTTTTACAATACTTGTACAAACATGTCTTGTAGGGCTTGCGTAAACCAGCCAACCAGCCAGCCATCGAGCTGACGTGATGCGCTGACTTCACGTATTATGATTCGGGAGCATAACTTGCGATGCCCACCTCGACAGACCCCACTCATGGATACAAATCAGGGTAAGTTTTCTTTTTTTTTCTCTCTCTCGCTCACTTTTCTTTACTTCTTCCTCGGGGCCGGTGCCGCAGGTTGTGTGGACGCCGCGGCGGCTCGAGAATCACGTCTCGACTCCTCCTCCTCCTCCTCCTCCTCCTCCTCCTCCTCCCCTTGTGCGGCGCGGCGGAAGTATTTTATGATACACCCGGAAACAAGTGCCATTCCTCAGGCATGGTGGTTATGACGCTCTACTGTCCGTGGCGGGCGGGGGAGGGGCGGAGGAGGGGGGGGAGGTGAAAAGAAAAATAAATATGATACCGCATTACCATATGCGCACTCGGAGTGAGTGCAATTATGCCTTTGGACGGAAAGTTAGGCCGTCTACGGTACGTCCGATGCGATACCACGGCTCCTAGGCAGATGGGCAGACGTAGTTCCGATGTGAGAGATAGAGTAACAAGAATTCTAATTAGGGATATGTTAGGGCTGTCCACCACGCCGATATACAGTATGCAGGGAGAAACGGACACACGGAACAATTATTAAACCAGGTGAATTTTCACCCAGAAAGTGAAAAAAGATATACCGGTAATAGAGCGGGTGCGGTATGGACCTACTCGAGTGCTTGTACAGTACATGGTGGCAGCATGCAGTAATCAATATGTTTCCCACTATCTTTTCCTCGCTCTCTCTTTCTTTTATGACATTGCGTCCTTACCGTCAGGAACCCCAGTCCCACCACCTAGTACAACACAAATACACTATCATAATGCTCTACGCTTCAGCGACCCGGCAGTCAAAGTGCAGAAGTCCAACAAAGAAAGCGAAAAAGAAATTCAAAAAAAAAAAAAAGATGGAGAAACGGAAAAATGAATACCATACATTAAACCAGCGATTGAATTGAATTGGAGAGAGAAAGAAAAAAGTTTTTGTATAATAGTATTAGGGCAGCAGCTAAACTTCATCGAGAAGCGGTGCCCACATAATTGTTCATGAGATAAAATAAAACAATTTTAAAAGGAGAACGTGATCTTTTTTTTTCCCTCCCTTACCGGATTTCAGACACGATAATATTATTATGCAGATAGGTTACCGGCGCCAGTGAAATTAATTTCCTTGCGGCAACAGCGTTGAATGGAATGGTAATGTTGGCGGAACAAGGAAGGAAGGAAAGAAGGAAGCAGGCAAAAGGGTAGGAGAGAAGTGAGGGGGAGGAGAGGGAAGGGGAGGTTACAGTAGTTGGTG